TTTTGAAATTGTGGTGCAGATGGTGAATGGTCACCGGAGGGAGCAAAATAAATCAAACTGTGGATGGAAATTGAACTGGGCGTTTTTCGACATTGAGAGATGATTATATAATATAGATATATACTTTGCACCTTTGTTCATGTTCCTAGTTCCACTTGTCCATTTCCTTTAGTTTGCGGAAGCGAGGAGATGTCATCGCAACTGTCCAAAGTACTTTGCCAGATCAGCCGTGGCATGGCAAGACATTGCTCTCCAGCGGCCCCCGCCGCTTTGACCATTCCGACCATGTCGACGATGCGGAGAATTCAGGTGGTTGCGGAAGTTGCGGAAGTTGCGACCTGGTTCTGGCCAATTTCTCGGTATTGGCGCCACCTCGGCGACATGGTTTGCACATTGCCACTGAAAAAAGTGGCATCACCATCCCACAGATACAGCAGCTGTTGGATTTCGTCTTCACCATGGTCAACATGGTGGGGGCATGCGGTCGTTGGGCTGAAACCTTCGGTGATGAACGTGGCAGGCCTTTGAGCTTTGAGGCTTTTAACCTTTATCATGCGAACTATTGGATTATTGGACCTGCTACCGCTGCCACTGATGCACATGAAGCGTGCAGTTACGTTGAGTTGCTTGGCTTGAGGAACAATGCTTCACAAGGCCTCCTTTTTCCCGAATGCGTAGTGGGGGTCTGGGGGCTGGACCCTTGTTCGCCTCGAGTGGCTCGTCGCGTCGTCTTCGCGTCGTCGTTGCGTCGTCGTCGCGTCGTTAATTCCGTGTCTACGGGGGAAGCTGCAAAACCTCTCCTTTTCGAAGGTTTCCAAGCAGGTTGTCATGTCGTTTTGTGTGGCAGGCGTGGCACTTTGTGACATTCCAACCTGTTTGATAACGTGCCAAAAGTGTCAAAATTGGAGGACGTCTCGCACGAAATGCTGGTTTTGCTGCGCCCACGTGTCTCGTCTCGGGTCTTTGGTTTTTCTTGTGCAAGCTTTGTGGTACACAGTAGTACTGAAAGTGCTTTGTGCAAGCTTTGTAGTACAAAGTAGTACTGGGAAGTGCTTTGTGCAAGCTTTGTAGTATACAGTAGTACTGGGAAGTAGTTTGTGCAAGCTTTGTAGCACAAAGTAGTACTTGGAAGTGCTTTGTGCAAGCTGTGTAGTGCAAGGTAGTACTGGGAAGGACTTGGTGCAAGCTGTGTAGTACAAAGTAGTACTGGGAAGTAGCTTTGTGCAAGCTTTGTAGTACACAGTAGTACTGGGAAGTCATTTTGTGCAAGCTTTGTAGTAGAAAGTATTACTGGGAAGTAGTTTGTGCAAGCTTTGTAGTACACAGTAGTACTGGGAAGTGCTTTTTACAAGCTTTGTAGTACACAGTAGTACTGGGAATTGCTTTGTGCAAGCTTTGTAGTACAAGGTAGTATTGGGAAGTGCTTTGTGCAAGCTGTGTGGTACAAAATTGTACTGGGAAGTAGTTTGTGCAAGCTTTGTAGTACAACGCCGTACTGGGAGGTGCTTTGTGCAATTTTTTTATTTCAAGGTGGTGCTTTGCGCAAGCTTTGTAGTACAAAGTAGTACTGGGAATTGCCTTGTGCAAGCTTTGTAGTATACAGTAGTACTGGGAAGTGCCTTGTGCAAGCTTTGTAGTATACACTAGTACTGGGAAGTAGTTTGTGCAAGCTTTGTAGTACAAAGTAGTACTTGGAAGTGCTTTGTGCAAGCTGTGTAGTACAAGGTAGTGGCGGGAAGAACTTGCAAGCTTTGTAGTAGAAAGTAGTACTGGGAAGTGCTTTGTGCAAGCTTTGTAATACAAAGTCCTTAGTCCTTTTGTGCAAGCTTTGTAGTACAAGGCAGTATTGGGAAGTGCTTGATTTGTTCAAGCTTTGCAGTGCAAAGTAGTACTGGGAAGTAGCTTTGTGCAAGCTTTGTAGTATACAGTAGTACTGGGAGGTAGTTTGTGCAAGCTTTGTAGTACAAAGTAGTACTTGGAAGTGCTTTGTGCAAGCTGTGTAGTACAAGGTAGTACTGGGAAGGACTCGGTGCAAGCTTTGTAGTACACAGTAGTACTGGGAAGTCGCTTTGTGCAAGCTTTATAGTAGAAAGTATTACTGGGAAGTAGTTTGTGCAAGCTTTGTAGTACACAGTAGTACTGGGAAGTCCTTTGTGCAAGCTTTGTAGTACACAGGAACTGGGAAGTGCTTTGTGCAAGCTTTGTAGTACAAGGTGGTATTGGGAAGTGCTTTGTGCAAGCTTTGTAGTGCAAGGTAGTATTGGGAAGGACTTTGTGCAAGCTTTGTAGTATAAAGTAGTACTGGGAAGTGCTTTGTGCAAGCTTTGTAGTACACAGTAGTACTGGGAAGGACTTGGTGCAAGCTTTGTAGTACACAGTAGTACTGGGAAGTCCTTTGTGCAAGCTTTGTAGTACAAGGTAGTATTGTGAAGTCCTTTGTGCAAGCTTTGTAGTACAAAGTATTACTGGGAAGTAGCTTTGTGCAGGCTTTGTAGTACACAGTAGTACTGAGAAGTCGCTTTGTGCAAGCTTTGTAGTATACAGTATTACTGGGAAGTAGTTTGTGCAAGCTTTTAGTTGGTACCCGGCGCATAGACGGCCGTGGACCGAAATACATATTTTAGCAAAACGGGGTTGGGTGGGGTGTGGGGGGGATATTAACGTTCATGTACCTTGCCTACATACGTGCATGCTACGCTGCTGCTACGTCACTGGGGGGTGGGGTGGGGGGGATATTAACGTTCATGTACCTTGCCTACATACGTGGATGCTACGCTGCTGCTACGTCACTGGGCATGGGTGGGGTGGGGGGGATATTAACGTTCATGTACCTTGCCTACATACGTGGATGCTACGCTGCTGCTACGTCACTGGGCATGGGTGGGGTGGGGGGGATATTAACGTTCATGTACCTTGCCTACATACGTGGATGCTATGCTGCTGCTACGTCACTGGGCATGGGTGGGGTGGGGGGATATTAACGTTCATGTACCTTGCCTACATACGTGGATGCTACGCTGCTGCTACGTCACTGGGCATGGGTGGGGTGGGGGGGGATGTTCATGTACCTTGCCTACATACGGGATGCTATACGTCACTGGGCATGGGTGGGGTGGGGGGGATATTAACGTTCATGTACCTTGCCTACATACATGGATGCTACGCTGCTGCTACGTCACTGGGCATGGGTGGGGTGGGGGGGATATTAACGTTCATGTACCTTGCCTGCGTACGTGGATGCTACGCTGCTGCTACGCTGCTGCGAATTTTTGGAACACTTGGAAGACCTCCTGCCGCAGGATTGATGCTGTCAGATGAGGAAAAAAAGAAGCAAATCCTGGCATAGACAAAGTAGTTACGTCATTTCAAAAAAACATTAAAATGATCGTTTCGCTGAGGCGAAAACGCCATTTTGCTAACTTTCCAATGGAATTCAGCCACAAAAAGTGTATACATCTGAAACTTGAGAAATCCCCTTACAAACGTGCAGAAAATCAAGCTGGACGATACTCATTCTTCATTTTGAGCCACGGCCGTCTATGCGCCGGGTTCCAAGTAGTTTGTGCAAGCTTTGTAGTACAAGGTAGTACTGGGAAGTGCTTTGCGCAAGCTTTGTAGTACAAAGTAGTACTGGGAAGTGCCTTGTGCAAGCTTTGTAGTATACAGTAGTACTGAAAAGTCCTTTGTGCAAGCTTTCTAGTGCAACGCAGTACTGGGAAGTAGTTTGTGCAAGCTTTGTAGTACAACGTCCTACTGGGAGGTGCTTTGTGCAAGCTGTGTAGTTCAAGGTAGTACAGGGAAGTGCTTTGTGCAAGCTTTGTAGTACAAAGTAGTACTGGGAAGTGCCTTGTGCAAGCTTTGTAGTACATACAGTAGTACTGAGAAGTCCTTTGTGCAAGCTTTGTAGTACAAAGTAGTACTGGGAAGGGCTTTGCGCAAGCTTTGTAGTACAAGGTAGTACTGGGAAGGACTTTGTGCAAGCTTTGTACAAAGTAGTACTGGGATGTCTTACACTTTACACTCCACACTCCACACTCTATACTTTACACACTCTTTGTTTCCCACTCCACACTTTACACTCCACACTCCTTACTTAAGACTCCACACTCCACACTCTACACTTTCCATTCCACACTCCTCCGCACTTTCCACTCCACACTGCAGACTGGTAACAGGGGAAATATGTATTGTCTTCAAGCGATGTTTTCTATCCGTGTCTTTGTGCATTAGTTGTCTCTTGTGAACTGTTGATCAGGTGCCTTCGCTGAGACGATATGCGCACACGATGCATGAAAAAAAGGTTGGTTTTCCTATTGCAGAGGTTTTCAATCGTAGTCCAAGAACGTGAATACAGTCGGATTCGTGGCTTCCATCTTCTTTTGAAAGCAAGTGTGCTATGCGAAAAGACATGTATTCGAACATCAGATGGTGCTTGTGGCTTCAAATGGTTCAAACTCTTCATTTTGGGCGTGTCCAAAATTGGGATACGTAGATGAACGGCACATTAAACAGGAAAGTGATGATCAAGCAATGTAAAATATATTTAGATAGGGAAACCTCGTTTTTTTCGAGCAAACAGTGCTTTGACAAATCCTGAGGCTTGTGGCAGATAATCCTGAGGCTCAGATTCCTTTGTGGTTTGTCTCACATGCATGGCTTGAACCCATACACCTTTTTCTCACGTGCCTCCGCCGCCACTCAACCCTTCGAGAACTCCGTGTTCCAGCATACTGGGTATGTGCCTACGCGAACAACCAGCATGCCTTGGAGGAAGCAATTTCCAACAACCCGCGCAAAACTTCATTTTACAAAGCAATGAGGCTATGCCGTGGGGTGTTGCTGGTTCTGGACACACAGGCGACACCATTTACCCCGGGAGGGGGGCGCAGCTATGACCTGGCATGGCTGCGCGGGAATTAACCCGATATCCGGTTGCACGATTCCGGATGATAAATACCTCCCTGGTCGGGGGGTGCTTTAGCCACCCCCCCGACTATGTCATGGCGCTCAGCGCGAACCTGGAACCTCCAGGCCTGTGGTGTTTACTTTGGCGCCTCGCCAAAGATGATGTGATCCAGGATATTGCAGACGAGGGCTGCTACAGTTTTGGTTGGCGGCTGCTGCAGACGTGGCAGTCGCAACCCGCCATACGGTGGGAGTTTTGTGGAGCTGAGCGCTTGGCCCAGCTTGTGTGAGGCAGGTGAGCTCGGTTCTTGCTATTGGATGATGAGGCGCTTCCATGGCATGGCACGCTGCGTGCACTTGACGGCTGCTCTTCTTCAGGTCGTCTACCGCAGCTGCCTCTTTGCCTCGGTTGAGCACATCTTTCACTGGCTACCAGTGGTTCGCTTCAATGCGTGATGGGCGAGGGCCCGTCACCGAATTGAGTGCAGATGGTGCTAGACCATCCGTTAATGTACCCACGCCTTGAAGAGAGGCAACTTCTGCTGTGGCGGAAGTATGGTTTGGCGAGCATGTGGTCACCACATCGTTCTCTACGATTGGCTGGCGACTCTTGAGGCAGCATTTTGCTGCCAAGGTTTTTGTCTTCCACCCACGCTGGAAGTTGTATTGTACAGGATTGCGAGCTTTGTCTCAAGCTACCCTCCAGGAGTGGGGGTGGCCCCCAGCGCCTATGGCGCCCGAAAGCTGCCTCCAGCCACTCACCTCGGTGGGCCCAGGCTGTGGCAGCGTTACAATTGCCCAACAACAACAACAACAACAACGGCTTACAACAACAACAACAACAACAACAACAACAACAACAACAACAACGACACCATTTACGAGGATTTGGTGTTGCTTTGAGGAATCGATTGCAGCCTGGCGCTCAGTTTGTCTCATTGAGCATATTGAGCTGTGAGTTCTTCAATTGTGAAATTCTTAGAACTTCCCAAAAATTTCAGGTCTCAATCTTCAAATGTTATGGCTAAATGTGACATGAGGTGGAGGAACGGGACACCAACTCTTTGCTACTTGATGTTGCTGCCACAGATCTTTGCCATGTTGCCCATGTCATCACTGATGGCTTAGTCGGTGCTGAGACCCGGGTTCTCCCCATCTTGGGTTTGCTCTGCAAGTCACGCCGTGAGCAATCCTTTCCAATGGATTTGCTTCAGAAAGGTCTCAGCGTTGACATTGCTGCAGCACAAGCGTCCAAAGAAGAGGACAAGACACGGATTTTGAACTCCGTGCGATGTCCGCGAGCCAGGACATGGGCGTTGGACACGCCTTTTCCAACGCAGCACCCTCGCTATGATGCCGTCAACAGAGCTTTAGCCTCCCACTTTGCACTGACCAGCATCCAGCAGTCATATCGTAACGGACAAGCGCAAGCCCCATCAAGCCTGTGGCAAGCACTACGGTCAGATGCAGAAAGAAAGAACATCCAAGTGTCACTAACAGGCTGCCACAGTTTCCGAGACCCGGACTTGCGTATTCTCATGGATAACCTGCCATCCCAACTGCAAAGTCTACGGCTCGATCTTGCCTACACTGGTTTGGAGCGTTTGGATGATCTAGCGGGTGCTTCCGGTGCTTCCTTCGGAAACGCCCTTCAGACCCTAGTGATTCGCTTCGCAGGATCTTTAAGAAGCATTTCTGGCTTGTCTGCTTTGCTTTGCCCTTCCTTGAGACGTTT